CTGCTTTAGCTTTTTGAGACTGATATTGCTGGTGTCGGTCGGACACCTTTCTTGTGAGTGCACATTTTAAGGCTACAATAAAAATTCTTTGTTTTAATAAACTGCATCATGATACTCTTCTTTGATTCCCCGAGCATTTCCAAAGTTATGAAGGCATGATGACCACTTGCAGTTAAGGCTGTTCCATGTGTGCTGATTTGGCTGATTGCAGTCTATTGCTCCTGGATACTCCAACAGATCATCGCTCCCAGAGCAATTGCTATTTTTGCTGATTTATAATTTGATCAGCAAATAGCTCTGGTGAGTTTACCCATTTCATTCGGTGGTGGATTTTGCTACACGGTGTATTTTCTTGTTTGAAGAGATTTTTTCAATCACTTATATTGGTGTTTGTACTTATATATGAATTACGGACATTTATAGATATATTTTTTTATTTTACTTATTTGCATTTTCATGTGATTTGGTATTTTTGTCAGTTTTGCAATAGCCTGTCATTACCCAGAATTACAACGGCATCACTTATATAGGGAATGGTCGGGCACCGGTTATAGCTTTCAGAATGTGAAAACATTTTCCATTTGTGAATTTGTCTGGGGGTTTGTCTATTTTCTCAGATAGGTCAGCACAGTATCTAATTCTGCAGTGTTCATCCAGGGAAATCATCCTCCAGACTGTGTGACTTTCAGTAAATGCCTGTACTCAGAAAAAGGTATTTTAAGAATGTAGGGCATTTTCTGATCAAGCAGATTACCTTACTGTACAGCTTTCTGCACAATTGTATCCTTTGTGTGTGAACCTGCTGCTTTCTCAGGCCTGTTTCACTAGGGAATAGAGTGAGATAGAATAAAACAAGTACATGTGTGGCCCATGGAGGTTATTGAAGGGACATGGCTGAAGGCCTAGAGCCACCTTTCTAAAAAATGTCACCTCTCGGGAACCCTTGAAGTAATTTTCTGATCTCAAGAAATCCCTGATAAAAAAAAATTTAGGCTCCATGCACACTAGCATTTTTTTGTGTGTTAAAAGCAATTCTAAAGGTTCACTTTTTTGTGTAAAATAGCCTCCTGTCTGCTTGCTATGGGGGCACCCGCTGCTCCGTGTGTCCATTCACGCATGGAGCTGTGGCTTGGCCCCGCCCCTTTCCTCATTGGCTGACTGGCTGTGATTGACAGCAGTGGGAGCCAATGGCTTGCTGTTTCAGCCAATGAGGAGGCAGAGACCTGTGACAGCCAAGGCTGTCACTCACATCACTGGATCGCAATGAGGCTCAGGTAAGTATTGAGGGGGCTGGGGGCACTGCTGCACACAGAAGGTGTTTTACTTTCATGCATAGAATGCATGAAGGTAAAAAAACTCAGCCTTTACAACCAGGGTGGATTTGATTTAAATCAAACTGATTTAAATCATGATTTAAATCGCTAGTCAGTAAGTAAGGCTTGATTTAAATCCTAGTTTTCTACATAAAGACTAATTCTTGCTGGTATAACTTTAATATGCAAGTAGATGAAGATTTTTAGAATAACAACTTTTCCGATATAGTTTTTTTATCCCCAGTTTAATAGGTTAATCTTTCATATTTGGACAACTTTTCTGTTGTACTTAGGAAGGAGAAAAATAATCATTACCTTAATAATAACAATTTAAATAGATTTATTCAACTGAAACAATAACATTACAGCATATGTTATTTGCTTAAACAAACATCCATGTTTGGTAACTAATTTGGCTAAACAAAATATATATATTTTAAGAAACTTAGACTGTCAGCCCCTTCCTCCTCACACTTAGTTTCACTTTCTTCTTGTGCAGATCTAGTCCACTCCAAACAATCAGAAAAATATTGTTTCTATTCTATTCACTGAATTTCTTGAAACTTAGCACTGAAGGGGTTGATTCTGTATTCATAGGTTTGTAGAAGTTGGGATGAAGGTCTTTTTCTTAACTCTGTTCATGTTATAACATTTTTGCTGTGAAGAAGAGGCATGTGATCTCCGCTGAGTCAAATTCAGTTTTGAGAACTGCAAAAGTAAACCAACATCTGTGATAATATCTTGTAGGCAGAGAAACTGCCCAATAATCTTACAAAAACCTCTGGAAGAGCATGACATTGTGAATGGATTATTGGAATTTATTTACCAAAAAATTAAACATATACAGCCTTATTCTACATAATTAAAAAAATCTTTATTTCATGATGGAATAACCTTTGGATGGTAATATATTTTCCTCCAAAAAGCATTTTATTAAAAAAAAATCCGATTTAAATAAAAAAAAAATCCGATTTTTGATTTTTTTTAAAAAAATCATTGATTCTTATCCACCCTGTTTACAACACATAGGATAACACGATTTAGCTTCTAGGAGCTTTAATAATGTTCATGTGCATGGAGCCTTAGAGTACTCGGTAAATTGTCTATAGACTTGACACACACAAAACAAAATCCATCCTTTCTAATGCCCCTCACCCCCTACCCCCCCCCTTCCCCTCATATGGGAACATTGTTAATGAAATGACAGTGGTAGTAAAGTTCCTGTCTTAAACTTGCAGTCAGGCTTACCTGTAGGTACATACATCGTTCAAGAGATTCACATCAGCAGTAGCCAATGATGTCACCTGCACATGCGCAATGACGCTCTGCATTCAGGGCACACAGTATGCCTTGAAATTCAGAGCACCATGCCGCAGCCATGGCTATGTTTTGGCAATTTATTACCACTTTAAGGAAATTGGCCAGGAAAAAAAAGCAGACCGTGAAAATAGTGTAGTTTTTAACCACACTATAGAGGTACATGGAAAAAGCTGTTCTGTTACATTTGGTGGTCTGTAGAGAAGGACCGCTATCATTGACAGTTAGTGGGAGCAATGCCCCCTTACATTGGTGGTCAGTGGTAGAAGAACCACTTAACACTGGCAGTCATGGTAGTTTATACCCTACATTGGTGGTCATTAAGAAAAGTGTCCCCTCACATTGGTTGAGGGAGAAAGAATGCACCTTACACTGATAGTCATTGGAAAGAATGGCCCAAGTTGGCAGTCATTGGGAGTTTTCCTTTATACACCGGTCTTTGGAGTCACAGTGGTTACTTATCAGAGCCAAAGCACTCCACTGATACCACACCACTGACACTGGCAGATGATGTTGGCCCCAGAAAAAGGTCAGTTTGCTGCTGTACAGTACTTGAGGAACCCATAGCGATCCCTGGGGGAACCTTGGTTGAAAATGCATGACGTAGGTACGGATATTTTCATGTCTGGTGTGTGAATGTTAATCCTTTCAGCAGAGGAGGTGAAAAGCTAAGCTGGTGTTCACTGCAACAAATCAAATGTTTTCAGTTTTATAACCAGTTCTCCTAAACTGCCTGGTACATTAGCTTTCGGGCTTTGATATTTTTTAGGGCAGAGAGCAATGGTTTTCCTTAAGGCCTCCCTCACAGCTAAACCTAAAAGCAAAAATGTAATATTGCAGCTTGGCAGTCCTTAAATGCAATGGTTGCATTAGTGTTCTCTTTTCAGGCTAAGAACTGTTTCAGCAAGTACAGAAAAATACCTGGTGATCTTGCCAGAAATGCAGTGACTTTGTCACTTCCTGTGCATTTAAGGGCTCATTCACACCATGTGCGTTGGGACTGTACCCGGCAGACTTGCTGAATGCATAGACAAGGCAAATGCCTTGTTTCCCATTAGATCAGTTCACACCACTGTGTTGTGTGCTGAAAAAAGTACATGCATACAGTTTTTTTTTTTTTTTTTTGTTTTTTTTCTTTTTCTGCACAGCTTGGTTCTGTGTAATCCATCACCCCATGCTGCAACAGATGGAACTAAAAGAAATGTCACTTTGTGACATTTCATTAAAAGGTGGCTGTGCGATGTGCTGTTTCCAGAGCCTCAGCACCACAGCTTGCTCACTGCATACAAGCAGCTTTATTCTAATACAGCTGCTGGTTTAAATTGGCTCAAAAGACTACAAAGAACCTTTCTCTCATATGTAAACTGTTACTCCCATCACCCCCCCCCATTTATGGCAGATGTTTTGAATTCCAGCCTGTATGACAACCATGGCTACCCTCATAGATGCAGTGGAGGATTTGTAGACATGGTGGAACAGAAAGTATGTTATTCACATGATTACAAAGAGAAAATCACGAGGAAAAGCCTGACAAAAGAAAACAAGTACATCTGATGGCTGGTAAGCTGCAGTATATTACATTTTTATTTTGCTTTTTTTTTTTTTTTTTTTTTTTTTCTTCTGCTTTGTAAGATATGAGTGCCAGCATCACCTGCTTTGACAACCAGAATCCAATTCCCCTGTGCCCCACAAACTATTGTTTTCCCTTTTGCTCTTGTTTACGTAAATTAATTTTAGTTTCTTAAAGAGGAGCTACACTCTGATAAGCCAAATTATAATAACCGCATCATTGACATTGTTGTAAGTCACATCATCCATACTGGATATTGCTGCACATTTGTTTTTCTTCTTAGATTCTAGCCATACCCATGATAGATGTGGGCTGCTGAAGCTGGCCTGCATCCATTTCTGGGTTTCCATGCAGGTGGCTACCTTGCATGCACCTCCTTGTCTTGCGCCTGCGCAGTAACTCCTCCAAATCTTGTCATTCTCGGCCAGGAAATAATGCAATAATAGAAGCCTTAGATGTCAGAAGACTCTTGGGATAGATGGCATAGATATCCCAGGAGTCAACGGGGCAGGCTGATGATATAGTCGTCTAGGTAGCCATGACCCAAAGTCCAGGAGACAACAATTAAAAAAACAAAACTGCACAGTATTCCTATCCAAAGACTGCAGCACTGTGGGTGGGCATTACAGTAAGTCTAAATGAAAAAAATTAGTGAAACTCCACCTTAGTGGGCTCTGAAATCTATTCAAAATTACAGACGACCAGTTTACTTCATTTGTATTGATATATCTGCTTTGTATACTTGTAAATGAGATATTCATAGTTTCATATGTTGTGCTTTTTTGTTTTTTTTCTTCTAGTATGCCTCTACTGGTTGCTCTTTGTCTCTCCATCACACTGAAAAACCTGAACATGAGGACATCTGTGAATATCGTCCCTACTCCTGTCCCTGCCCTGGAGCCTCCTGCAAATGGCAGGGTTCACTGGAAGCAGTTATGCCGCACCTAACACATGCCCACAAAAGCATCACTACTCTCCAGGGCGAAGACATAGTCTTCCTTGCAACAGACATTAATTTACCTGGGGCTGTTGACTGGGTGATGATGCAGTTTTGCTTCAGCCACCATTTCATGTTAGTTCTGGAGAAACAGGAGAAATACGAAGGGCACCAACAGTTTTTTGCCATTGTCCTCTTGATAGGCACACGGAAACAAGCTGAAAACTTTGCCTACAGACTTGAACTCAATGGAAACCGAAGGCGTTTGACCTGGGAAGCCACACCAAGGTCCATTCACGATGGGGTGGCAGCAGCCATCATGAACAGTGATTGCTTGGTTTTTGATACTGCAATTGCACATCTGTTTGCTGATAATGGGAACTTGGGCATCAATGTAACCATATCTACTTGTTGTCCGTGATCCTCGACCTTCTTTGTTGGAAAACATATTTCAGTGGCCACGTCGGTGCTGTCTGCATTTTATTTTATTACAGTGGACTTTTTTTCAACATGCATCTTACAGAAGCATTGCCAACATTTTGTAGAAACTTTTTGTAGTTGTAAATAATGAGGCTGTGAATTGTTATCCTGAAGAGCGTAATAACTATCTTTTACTTAAATTATTTTCCGAAGAAAAAAAATGGATGTACTCCGTTGATTGTCAAATAACAGATGAATATATCATGAAACTCCGGTACAGCAGGTGAAAGTGTAGCATTGTTGTATGATGCAGACATATACAAGATTGGACATTTCTATAGGTGTGTAAAGAAGCTGGATCAGTCGGCAGAATATGCTGGGTTATATTTTTATGAACAATTTATTGACCAAGCTTATATTTGAATGTGCACTTATCTTAATTTATAGGTTAGTTTGTTTACCTTTTACCTGGGCTTTTGTATGAAAACTGATGGAAAGAAAAGAGGTTGTCCACAGAAACCAATCAGTGTTGCTTGCATATTCCCAATGTTTTAGTAAAAAAAAAATTTATTTTTTTTTTTTTTTTTTTTTAAAACTGGTGCACTCAATCTGGTGCAGCTGTGCATGGTAGCCAATCAGCTTCTAACTTCAGCTTTTTCAGTTAAGCTTTGTCGATAAAACCTGCAAGCTGATTGGTTTCTCTGCAGAGCTGCACCAGATTTTGCACTATGCAGCTTTAGTAAATAACCCTCATACTGTCTGGCTGCTGTGGCCAGCACTGCTACTTTTCTGCCAGTTTGTTTGAAAGCTGAACTGCAGGCAAACAGCTAAATTACACAATTGACATTCACTGTTTTACCTGCCAAAGGATTTTAAGTTCTGTGCAGCCGCTTTTTGTAATCCAGGCAGCCTAGGAGAGAGCACAGCCTGGTCCATTAACTTCACCGCCACACAGTTTGGTCAAGATCACTGTGTCAAAATGCTCTCCAGCTTGCTGACTGGAAAATGAATCGGTAGCAGCATTACTGTGATCTCTCCTTCTGTCAGGGTGCATTCATTGTTGCTGTACAACAAACAGTAGAGCCTTGTTGGCTTCTCTTGCTTGGCTGTCTCTGACCCAGTCCCAGTGCTGCTTTACAGGAGATTACAAGAGGTGGATATCCAGAGAACTTCAAGTCCTTTTCACCAGTTGAAATATTTTTACTAGTGAAACAATGAATACATGACTGTTAATTTGGTATTTTCTTTGTATCTGCCTGGAGTTCACCTTAAAGGAAGCCTGCTGTCTTGCCTGCCAGTGGTGAGTGTGCAGAGAGCATCTTTACTTCCCTCCTTGGGATAGTACTGACTAGCTCCAGATTTGAGTTTGACAGCATCACAATAAGTCATCTGGATATGTGCAGGCAAGTGTTTTGTTCTGTGTCTTCCGTTCTGTTTTTGTCTCTTAGATGGGCGCTTGCTTAGAGAGGTTGTTCCTTTCTTTGCAGTAAAGTTTTTGTATGCGCACAATTGCTGGTTAAAACTGATTCTGCAACCGGAAAAAAGAAGATAACATTGATACTACTGGTTAGAGAGAAGATCTCTGAAAGACACTAGGGCAGTGGTTCTTAACCTTGTTGGAGGTACTGAACCCCACCAGTTTCATATGCGCATTCACCGAACCCTTCTTAATTGGAAAAATAAAATATGATTTTTAAAATTCAAAACATAGGTATATATTTCGGTATATATTTATACATAGGTGCACAAAATGAACAAAACCGTTAAGAACAAAGAACAAAACCATTAAAACATGATTTTCACACAAAAACATAATAATGAATATTTACTGCACGAATCATATGAGTCGGGTGTGGGTCTTCACCTCCGCCGAACCCGTGAGACTGACTCACCGAACCCCTGAGGTTCGATCGAACCCAGGTTAAGAACCACTGCACTAGGGAGCTTTGTCTAATCAAATACAAATTTGGTTAAGTATGTGCATATGAGAGGAAAAATTCTCAAATGTCCTGGCAATAGCAAATCATCTAAGCCTGAATATAATGTCCATCTCTCCAAATACCTCATTTTCATTAAAACGGAATTCCTGGGAAATGGGGGGGGGGGGGGGGGGGGGGGCGACTCCTTTTCCAGTGGGCCCCCTGCACTTTAAGGATTAAATGCTTATGGTGTGTTTTTGTTTTGTTTGTTTTTTCTCTAGGGTGCCATTAAAAAGCACTTTCTTACCTTAGCCAATGCTTCTATAATAGCTATATGATGGTCCTGGGTTGTAGGCAGTTCCTTACTTACAATGCAGGTCAATGGTGATGTCAGAGGGCAACTGACGAACAGAGTGCCAAAGTGAAGTGGCTTCTGGGGGCATGAAGAAGCCTTGGGAGAGAGGGATACGGTAAGTGAAATTGTGGTGGTTTTTTTTTTTTTTTTTTTCCTAGTATCCTAGGGAGCATTTAAAACCCTTGCCAAATGGGAGGAACCCCACTGGAATCGCCCACTGGAATGCTGCCTTCCTCAACCTTCTTGTTTTCTTCTTATTTCAGAGAACAGTTTATAAGAAACCTAACTTTTTAGGAAAAAAAAAAGAAGTAATAATCCTTGTAAGTTTGGTAGAGTTTGGTAAATGATTCTTGTTGGTGGAAATAGCTAGAGTGGTTATTTGCCAACATTGTCCATTTTTACCTTCTAGCCCATTCATTCATTCTTTTTCATGGTTAATCTAACCTTATTAGCTACTATGGGTTGTTATTGTACTTTTGTTGGTAGGCCGGAAGAGTTTGCCAGTAGGGTCAGTTCTCTAAAGCACAGCAAATATGACTTTTCACTAAGGGCTGAAAGGCTGAAACACACTTTTGCACCATGGTGTTTTTACGCAACACATAAGATTGGAGAAGTGTAAATAGGCCCTAAAGGTTTTGTAGCACAGACTAGCTGTATTTAATACATGCACAACACATTATTTTTGTATGTAAATTGTGACTCAAATTAATTTTCATTCATTTTAACATGCCAGCACCTTCTGAGGTTCTATATAGTGTCTATTGAGACCAGAAAATAGAGCCATTTCTTGGGAGTTCGAAATACAAATCTTTTAGAAACAGAAAACTATTTTATGTGGAAAGATTATTGCACCTATGCAACATTATGTGAATTCAATGTTTGAAAAAAATTAACGCAGTTGGGCCCCTTTTACCCAGACCTCATCCGTTCAGTAACTTTTTTTTTTTAAATGGAGTCAGGTTACATCAGTTTGCACCTCCATCTTCAGTTTAGTTTACATCCGTTTTTGTATCTGTTTTTTTCTTATCTGTTGAAGAGACCAATCAAAGGTGAAAAAAGTATAAATATGTTTATTGCCTAAAAGTAGGCTTAAACAAAACAGATGGCGTCTATTTACATCTGTTCTGTTTTGACAGATCTGGATGTTAATGGACCTGACCTGTCAGATAGGCGGATGTTAACTGATCATCAGTTTACGTCTGCCCACCTATATATATACATGGTGGTTCAGTCTGGGTCCATCTGAAAAACTGACAGACAGATCTAGACTGAACATCTGTGTGAAAGGGGCCTTAAAGTAACTTATGCATCCTAGTGACTGTGTTCACCCTAGTGTGCTACGGTTTGGCCGTAGAGTGGGTGTATCTGCGATTTTCCTGCTTGCAGTATCTTTGGTGCATTTTCAGAAAACACAGCTAAAACTCCCAACTTAATCGAAGTCTGTGGGTCCAATTCTGTGGCCAAACTGCAGAGCACCAGTGCTTAATAACTTCCGTTTTTTTTTTTGTTTTTTTTTATACTTTTATAACTAATTGGGGAAAAAAAAAGCAATTAAAGCCTGACTCGTCTTTCAAACTATTTCCTTCACTAATTGCTGCAGCCGCTGTCAGCGTTTGTATAAATTGTAACATTGGCTACATACTGTACACAGTACTGTGTTTCGGCAGTAACAAAATCTTCCTACCTCTTCCCCAGCATTGGGGCTTCCTATCTGCTGCTGAAATAAAATCAGTGCTTCTCAGCCATTCACATTTCACAGCTATTTAAAGTTAAATGAAAAATTGAGTTAAAGCAGAACTCCAGTTACATTTTTATTTTATTTTTTGAACCATGCAGTGGGACTGTATCCCATTGCATGGATCAGATGCTCATTTTTTCAAGGGGTGAGGGCGAAGCTCATACTCACCTGACCCGCCGATTGTGCGTAAAACCGCACTCCCTCATGGCCCAGCGGTGGACCATTCTGTCTGTAGAGTGCGCATTGAGCATGCTAACATCAGGATCAGTCCATTTACAAGACCGCTGGGACCACGGGGGTGGGGGATGTTTAGGAGCCAAAAGGACCATTCTTGTGCTTGGAGGATCGGCGGGTCAGGCGAGTATATCTTTGGTGTCCTCTCCCCTAGAACAAAATGAGCATTTAACCCATGCAGTGCCAGCACAGCCCCACTGCACAGGCAAAAAAAAATTTGTGGATTACTACCGTACTTGAAACTTTTAAATACGGCAAAATATGGCCAAATACAAACCCATTTTTGTCAGCCTTTATAAATGGGTCCTCTGGTGTCTGGAACATTTGGGCTAAGATACTTACTATACATCATCATCATCATGTACTTAAAGCAGTCCACTAACACACTGGGGTCAATTTACTAAGAGAATGGGTATTTGCAAAGTGAATATGCTCCAATCGTGTGCATAGGAAATAAAAACTGGGTTTTGCTTGCACACATTTAGTAGATTGAAGTCTGCAGAGCTTCACCTCATTTGCTAAGCTAAGTACAAATTCCCTTAGTGAATAGTCGATACTCCTTTAGTAAATAAACACCACTGTCAACCTTTTGTTATCACAGAATCCTCAATCACTTTAGAATACTTATATTTTCACGGTCTGTAAATCAACTGCTTATCCAAATGTTTGGAGATATGTACATGGGTTGTGGAACTGTACGTTCACCCCCAAGATATGGTTGCTATTGTTTTTGTTTAAATCAACTGCTTATGTGC